CCGTGATGAGCAATGCCAAAGGTGCTCTCGAAGAGCCAAGAGGGTCTTGTCTCTCCATGGCCAATACTCACGAGCTGTAGGCTCTCTAAGGAAGGTTCTTCATCTTGCACACCAACACCACCCAACTCCTCGAACATCCCCGTTTTGAATAATTTAGTTACCCGAGTGAAAATGGGTTATCCCAGGCTGCCTGCTCTTCAGGCTGGCTGGTTACGTCAAGCGCTGCTGCTCGTTCTGTCCCACAAGTGTCCGTGCGTGTGTGTGTGTCACAGGGTTGCACGGGCTTCCCCTTCATCGACGCCATCATGACCCAGCTGCGGTCCGAGGGCTGGGTCCATCACCTGGCCAGGCACGCCGTGGCCTGTTTCCTCACGCGCGGAGACCTCTGGATCAGCTGGCAGGAGGGCCAGAAGGTCAGGAGGAAAGCCGTCTGTGCTGCTCTGTCCCGTTCGCAAACGCCTCGTTCTCTCCCCCCCCCAACCCCTGCCGTTTCCATTTTCCTTAATCGAACAAGTTTTTTTTTAACTACATGCTCGCCATCGGTTTTTCCTAGGATAGAAAAGCGCCATTAAAAGGAAACGGACTGCAGCCCATGAAGGGATAGGTTCACAGCCTGGGGTTGGCGTCGGCGCCGATGCATAGTGCCTGTTTATAAATGAAATTTTCTGGGACAAAAAACCACTCGCCTTGCTTTGCTTTGCTTTTGTTATCGTTCCTCGGAAGGTTATATTTTCTCCACAAAATATTCCAAGATGTGTTGCAGGGAAAGGCTGAGAGTCTGTTTTCTTTTCTAATGGCCTTCATCTGAATGAAACGTTTAAGTGATTGTACACGTTATCAAAGAGTATGTGTTAACCAAACACTACACTACTAAGACAAATGTTGGCCTTGCAGATTATAGTCCTAGGTTTTGAAGGCAGATAGGTTTTCCACCCCCCCGCCCCTTGACAGTCACAGATTACAGTTTGATGATTGGCTCCGCCCCCTTTCCTCTGTAGCGCGTACGTGGGGCCTGAGGGGCTTGTGTCTGGTACCTGTTTCAGGTGTTCGAGGAGCTGCTGCTGGATGCAGACTGGGCCCTGAACGCTGGCAACTGGCAGTGGTTGTCAGCCAGCGCTTTCTTCCACCAGTACTACAGGGTCTACTCTCCCATCGCCTTCGGGAAGAAGACGGACAAGAACGGGGACTACATCAGGTACCGCAGAGCCCCGACTTCATCCCATGGGCCTCGCTGAGCAGCAGCAGGGACATTCTGAAGTCCAGAGCATGGTCAGCTGTTCACTGGGAAGCATTTTTTTTTATATAACGGATGTTTAATTACAAATTAATGCAGACAATCTGAGGAAGACCCGCGGAATACATTTCATATGAGGCTTCATTGCTCTTAAATTTACAGTTGCACCATTTGCCAAAGTAAATATTCTTTAACTGGGTTTCGATTCTCTTTCGTTTATTCACGTCAAGTTGATATTACGACACCTATTGAAGATTTATTGTCTTATGGCATATAAACAAAATCGCAAATTGACCTTCACATATTAATATAAAGGAATAAGAAATCCCTTCTTTGGTACGTTAGTGCCTCAGAAACAGTGCCCACTATTCTATGGCTTTTATTCCCTGATTTAGGGAATGGAGGGAGTTCCTTGACAGTCTCTATCCTGTTATAGGAAGTACCTGCCTGTACTCAAAAAGTTCCCATCGGCATATATCTACGAGCCCTGGAAGGCGCCACGCAGCGTCCAAGAGCAAGCAGGGTGCATTGTGGGAAAAGATTACCCCCGGCCAATTGTGGACCATGATGTAGTCAGCAAGAAGAACATCCAGAGGATGAAGCTGGCATACGCACGGCGTGCCCAACTCGGTGGCGAGCAAGAGGGCACGGGGAAAGGTGAGACTGAGGACACGGAGAAGGATTGGAACAGTTTCCAAATGCAACTTTAACATTCTCGTACGGAAGGTGTCCGCATAGCAGAGTACTTCCTTATGCTTCCACTGGCCGGATTCTGAGCCTGACCAGTTTTCCCGTTGAACTGCGGTTCCTAGGGCCAAGTGAAAAGAAAAATAAGCATTTAACCGTCTTGAATCTTCCATTCAGAATGGATGATGATGATGATGATAAAGTGTATTTCCTTTTCTTCCAGGAATGAAACGCAAAGGGCAGTCAGTGGCAGACCTGCTGACGAAGAAACAAAAGCGAAATTCTGTTGAAGAGAAGATGACGCTAAGTGGATAGCGAGTGACTGCGGGCCTCCAGGAATGTGTCCTGCACATGGAAGGAGAGGGCGTTCGATGAGGCAGGAAGGGTCGTAAAGCACAGCTGTACGCCTTTTACTTGGAAGTTTTTTTTCCCATGACATTTTAGATTGCAAGAGTATTTATATACAGGGTGGCTTGGTGTCACAGTAGTTAGCATTGCTGCCTTGCAGCGCTAGGGCCCTGGGTCCAGTTCTAGACTTTCAATATTCACCTGGGTTCCCTCAGGGTACCAGTTTCCTCCCACAGTCCACAGACATACTGGTAGGTTAACTGGCTTCTGGGAAAATTGGCCCTGGTGTGAGTGTGTGCAGCCTGCAATAGGCTGGAGATAGGCTTCGGCTGCCCCGTGACACCATTTTCAGTGAAATGGTTAGATGGATGGGGGTATTTATATACCTTCTGTTGTCTTCTGGAAATATTGGTATAAATATATAAAAGCTTGGGGGTTAAAAACTGTCTTGTAAACTAATAGTACTGCTTGTTTTATTATTAGGATCTTCAGCCATGTTTTGTTGCTGAGGTACATAGGACAGCTGTGTGAACCCTGAAGACCAAGCTCACTGTTCGCAATTTAAAAAATAAGGTAATTGTGCTAGGAAATAATAAACATTTAGCTTACCCCTGAGCTGTAAGTTTTTGATATGGTTTGGAAATAACTTAAAATAGTTGTTAACCACACACTTAAGTAAGGTTACAAATGAGAGGAGGCT